TGTGGTCCGTTTCCATATGGAACCTTTGACCCAGAAGGTATGGTCGCCCCTTATCTATGGCCCAAACGATTGCAAGACATTCTTTTTCCGTGGTGGGATATTTCCTTTCCGTTGGAGTAAGGACCGTGCTTGCGTATTCAACCACTCCACTTGCTTGTTTGAGGACGACTCCCAGTCCAACGTCACTGGCATCCGTTACCACTGTGAAGCGCTCATCAATCACCTACAACTTCAGTGTCAGGTGTTGTTCGATCATGATCCTTTGGAGTTCATCGAAGGCTTTCTGGACCTCTGGTGTCCATCGGGAGCGATATTCCTTCTTGAGCAAGGCGTATAAAGATTCGGCTATATTTGTAACATTCTTGATAAACCGGCTATATTATGCGGTACAGCCCAGAAGCTGTCTTAATGTTCTTTTCGATGTTGGGCGTGCAAACTCCTTCGACTTGAGGATCTTCTCAGGAAGTGGCTTCATTTCTCCGTTCCCAACCTTGTACCCAAGTAAAGTCACTGTCGGCTTCCCAATTTGAAACTTCGACCCGTTAATCCGAAGGCCAGATTCTTGGATTCTTTTCAGGACAGTTTCCAACTGGAATGTGTGTTCGATTGTTGTTTGACTAAAGACGACGATACCGTCACCATACACCACCACGTTGGGGACACCGTCGAGTAGCTTCAACATGAGGAGGCGGAATGTAAATGGTGCTCCTGATAGTCCGAATGGCATTCGTTTAAAATGATATTGTTTATTGCCGATTGTGAACGCCGTTTTCTCTTGGTCGGCTTTCTTTGTTGGTATTTGCCGATATCCCGATCGTAGATCCACAACTGAGAACACTTTTGCGCTTTGCAGTTGGTCGAAAATTTCTGCCTTAGTCGGGACTGGAACTGGTTTGTTCATAGTCACAGTGTTTACTTGGCGAAAATCCACACAGAACCGAAATTTGCCGTTGGGCTTTTTGACCAGCAGCACAGGCGAGTTATACGAACTTCGACTTTCTTCAACGATTCCTTCCCTCAACATTTGTTCAACCTGCCACTTGACTTCATCCTCCAAGTATAGTGGGATGCGGCGTGAAACAGGCTCGAGGTTTTCCTATCTTTATTGGAATTTCGTGTTCGACCCATTTACGCAACCCGTACGGGTCATCGTCGCCTGTGAACAGGTGGGAGTATCGTTGCACCACTGGCCGAAATGACGGCGACGGTGAGTTGTTTCTGTACTCACGGCTGACAACCTCTTCCTTTTTTAATATAACAGCGGGATCGTGCTGAATTCAGTAACAAGCCGTTCGTTGTTCAGATCAACCACGCAACTGCGCAAGATATCTGCTCCCACTATAGTCTGGTTCTCGTCTTTGGATATGATAAACGGATGCTTGATTATCTTGTTTCCAACGCGGACTATCCGTTTGGCTACTCCGTCTACCTTCAACTGGTAACCCCCGACTGTTTTCACAGCTTTATTCCATGCTTCCAGGGGCTCATTTGCTTGTGGTCTAGCCAACGATCTTGCCGCCTCAGTGTCGATTAAGCATTGCTCTTTTCGACCCTCTATCTCCAATTGGGCCTATAGTGCACCGCGATCTACTACTCTTATGATAGTCCTGTTTGAGAAGACGGGCTTGTTCGGCGTAAACCGTTTCTCGAGAGAACGTTTTTTGTATCCTGGACAATACCTCAGCCAGTAGCCCAGTTTACCGCATTGAAAGCACACATTCCTGTTCTTTCTTGCTACGCAGTTTGACTTCACTGGTGCCACTTCTTCTGTCGGCTTTTTCAGGGCTTCCGTAAGATCCTCTGATGGTCGTGTTTTCGAGACTTCGTGGGTTTGGAGAGCCGAAACTCCATGATTGATTAATTGTCTCACTGCTTCAGCCAGCATGAATACATTCATAACACGCCCCGCTTGGACAATTTGAGCCTTTTCCCGCAGATTGCCCGGCAGACTCTCCACGAAACGCTCCAGCAATAATTCCGAGCGAGCAGCGTCGTTGGAAGTTGGCAACGCTCGATCCAACAGGGTGCGCAGGGACGGCGTGCGACAGAGGGATCGCGACAACGCCGATAGATAGATAGATAGATAGATAGGTAGAGATAAAGAGAGACAAGTAAATCGAATGAATAGATAACTTAGCATCAGGAATATTCTACGTTGTAGCAACAAACCTCTGCATGATTCATTCCAATCTCATCGATTGTCGTAAGGTTTCCCAGCGATGAAGTCATTCTTGTCTCTCTTGCTTCATCTCTCTGACTGTTTCAATATGTTGTATATCCATCCGCCGCTAAATAACCCTGGTTTTCCACCTGAAACTTAGTGCTGTTCGCTCTGGTTTGAGTCAGTACAAGGACACTAATTACAAAGAATGATGCTTCTTGTGATTGCGTTTTCTCAGTGTCGTGTTTGTCACAACACCCTAGTGCAGCAAAAGGTTTGCCACTGTTCATTTTGCTGTGATGAACGTTTCCTACACATTCCGAATATCCATGATCAACAATGTTACTCCTCTGGTTGGTCCAGTCGACAGTTTTTTCTCGTGTTTTAAAGGATCGTCATAGAAGCCTGTGTCAGCGTAACCCGCATTGAATCCTAGCTTCCTCGTAACTGAAAACCGTGAGTGACAAGTTGGTTCATGCGTGAATCAGGTCAAATATCATAGTAACAGGTTTCACGCGTGCCATTTGGCGCCATCGATGCAATGACAATGCCCAATCCCGGTATATAAACAAAACTAAAATGTATTAGGCAGCTAGTCTGTTCGAACTCGACATGAATGTATGCGTCGCCATCATTTCTTACTATCTCGGATCACCTTCCTTTTTATGTACAATCTCCACTCAAACGGTGATTACTGTTACTGTTAGCGGAGTTTCGTGGTGGGGATATTCTAAAAATAAAGGTTCACACATTACTGTGAAGAGCAGTAGATGGGGCCAACCTCACATTTACGAAAATGTTTTGTCATGATAACCGGTAACCTGAACCCGGGGACTAGGCAGAGTGAACCATATTTTGGACTTCAATAGAATGAACAAGATATTGAACCGTACATTTGCAAAACGGCCTGGAAGCAGATTTGGGTGACGATGCTAACCAAGCATTGGACCTCGGACCTTGTGGTCTAACGCAAATCATTGACAAATTTAACTGCTTCGTTATTACCTTAATCCCTATAGTGGTCAGCAGGTTTGTCATATTTTACACCTCCGATGAGAAAATCTTTAAATTTCTCAGTGGTTCAACTATAAGCATAGGATGAATAAATGAAAGGGCTACATCTCTTTTTTCCTAACCGAAATATTCACACGATATCGCCTTTCAATTTCTAGGTTTGTTTTAAAAGATCATGGTGATCATCCGAGGATTTTGATATTCTACATTAGAAAGTTACCATCCCAAACGAATGATAATGCGGATAAATATCGATGCTTTCATTCTATCCGGAATTCTGATTGATATTCAGTTTATTAAAGTATGCATATTTGGTTGATGGACTGGAAACGATTTGGATGCGCATTCGAGCGTAAAAGTATGTTCCCTCTTCTGCTTCACAGCCTTTACTGCAAAACTGTATAATCCCCGAGTTCAAGAGATTTCCCGTTGATACTAAGGCTTTTCGAAACACATCCTTCATGATTACATTGACGAATTTCACAGTCTATGCAGAATAGAAACGTGATACTACTTCGGTACCCCGAGAGGTGTATGTAGCCCAGCACAGATCGACGCCATTTCTGCACGAGGTCTTTCCCACACTTTGAGCCACAACTGAAAATATGCTAATATATCCATGCACTTCAGGTTGAATTGACGACAAAACCATGTGTGTTCAGTCACACACACACACACCCATTTCAGCTAATCGTGCGGAATGTGACATAGAATAGCTTCGCGATATGCATCGTAGTGGGGATAATCCGGCTGTGATTACCACACATTCCAACAAACTACTCATGCTGATCAGATAGGAACGGTGTAAAAAAAACACTACTAATAATTTCAACAATAAGTATTCAAAAATGCGAAATAAACGTAAGTTTACA